GTACACACACACACACACACACACACACACACACACACACACACACACACACACACACACACACTGTGTGTGTGTGTGTGTGTGTGTGTGTGTGTGTGTGTGTGTGTGTGTGTGTGTGTGTGTGTGTGTACGCGCATGTGTTTTTTGAGCTCTGAGGAATGTTTGATCCATATCACGCAATAAACTTTCCAAATATTTTATCTGCATTCCCATTTTGGAATACAACATAGTATGAAATTTGAGGCAGCAGAGGTTGTGTGTTTGTATGTGGGATTCTTACCTCTCTCTCTGGTTTATGTGGGTCCATGAGTCTAACAACATGCCCATCTCTGACCAGTATTGCCTGAGAGTCTCCCAGCCAAGCAACAGTCAGCTCTTGATCCTGGATCAGTACTGCCACTCCTGTGCTGCCACTCCGGAGAAGCTGCAGCACACACAGGTGTAATTTAAAGACAAAAGACAGAGCAAGACAGCACACCAAGTTGAGTACTATAGCATGTAAATGTCAGCAGAAAACATTGTGCACAAGATGCTGCACTGCTGATTTCTCAGTACCTCTCTCTTGGCCTTGTTTCTGAACATGTCATCTGTGCGTTTGAAGGCTGTTTTAAAGGCTGTGGTTGCATCACTCTGCAGCATCTCCTGTTTACTTAGAACAACATGGAGGTGAGTGGAAGCGTAGGTTGCTGCATCCACCCCTCCATGGCCATCAAACACAGCATAGTAAGCACGATCTACATCATCCTGGACCATACGGGAGGGAAAGAAAGACACAGTCATAAATAAATGTCACAGAATGCAGTTTTGTGAAAAACTAAGTGTACCCCATGATTCAGTGGCTTGTAGGACCACCTACAATACACACCCTCTGAAGTGTGGGCTGACAGATGCCCCCCATAGGCAGCAGTGATCCCAGGATGCAGCCTACCAATCCCCAGATCTAGCCAACCCCTCAGATGGGACTCTAAAATACTTTGGTATGCAGAGGAGCTCATGGTTGAGTTGGTGACTGCAAGATATGCTGCACAACAAATCTAAATCACCTCTCCACCACCGTGCAGCATCTGTGTATGCTTGGCTTTCTTCAAATATGGCTTTTATAGAGGATCAGCACCTCACTGCTGCTTACTTTATTTCTATACAAGCAGTAAGGGTACACTTAGTTTTAACAGGACTTTATGCGGTCCTGTGAAAACTTTTTTTTTTTTACATGACAGTATGTTTGATAATTAGTTGGGATTATAATTTCAGTTTTTATTTTTGTGTCTGTGATATTTTTCATACCTGAATTCCAAAGAGCTGGTTGAACTCGGCTAAAGCCAAATGTTTGTCCTCCATTTTTCTCCGGGTGTTTTTGATGGCATGAATGGAGCACTGGAGGTTGCGAGAGGGACAAAGAGCCACCTTGGGGAAGTTTCTGTGCCACGCCAGTGCTACATCTATCAGTTTATTCAGGAAGGTGCGTTGGACTGCCTCTGATTGAAATACTGACAATAAATTACAATACAAGTAAGAAACCTGTTATATTTCTGGGTTTTTTTTTCCAATAACATCATGGACAAAGGCATTTTATTCCTTGAATTAATATGTACAATGGAAGTCAAACTACTTCCAGGTGGCACGGTGGTTGGCACGGTGGTTAGCACTGTGGCCGCACAGCTAGAAGCTCCTGAGTTCAATTCCACCATCAGGCTGGGGTCTTTCTGTGATCTTTCTTCCTCCCACCATCCAAAGACATGCAGTTTGTGAGGATAGGTTAATTGGTTAAGCCAAATTGCCCTGTGTTAGTGTTAGCCCTGTGACAGACTGGCAACCTGTCCAGGGTGTACCCCGCCTCTCGCCCTATGACAGCTGGGATAGGCTCCAGCACCCCCCACGACCCTGAAAAGTATAAGTGGAAGCGAATGGATGGAAGTCAAAATACTACTTTTCAGTGCAGTGCAATGCAATATTTCCAACCACTATGCAAATGTACACCAGTTCCTTATAGAGGAGAGGTCTACTCATAGTTTCAATTTTAGTTTTTTACTTGTTTAAAAACTTTAGAAACTGAAATTATAATTGTTTGTATTAAAACGGACCCTTTCACACACATGTGGCATCATCGAGGCTGAGGCTGTGCCCAAGTTGGCTGTGTGGCAGCAGACAGGGTGATATGTATTGGATAAATTATCATCTCCCCTTTTGCAGCCTCAAATTGCACTGTAAAAGATAAATTATAGTCTGCGAACATGCCAATAAGACCTGAGATGTGAAGACAAGTGTGAATGTGATCTGTGTTAGTACCGCTAATGATATTTGGTAATGATAAGTTGGTATCAAGTTACTTGGAGAGTGTATATCAGATATATGATCCTGGACAGACAACTTCCAAACACAAGATTATTTCATTCTGTCTGCTTGAATTGAATTGGCATCTTTCAGTATAATGCAATATATTCAAAGCACCACAAACATACAGACTGCTTTGTCGTCTGCCTTCTCTTCTTGGTCACCTTCAGGTTCCTCAGGGCACTGGTAAGGTAAAAGGTCAGTCTGCAGCAGCTGGGAATATGCTGCCTGGCAAAGGAGGGCACCGAGTCTTGGAGAAGCACCCCTGAACAAACACAGAGATAAATACATGTTGTGTAATCTCTTGAAATTTGAGTCATTTTTCTAACTGCAGTTACAAAGTGTTGCACCAAAGTCCAAATTGTGGACAGAAAAAAAAAAAGATAATTTTTGGGCAGTAACCTGTAAATGCACTTCTTTTCCTCTACAGAATTGCATTTCTCTGGCAGCAAAGATTGTGTTTAGGAAAAAGGAAGTGGCATGAACAATTTTGTTTTTGCAGACAGGAAATGAAACCTTCCTGACAGGGAATACTTCTGTAGAAAATGTGAGCAGAACAGAAAGCCAGTCACAGTTTTTAAGTGTTACTTTTTCCTGCTCAAAGTTTAAAAGTGTTTGAAAGTCTTTTACCAGCCTCTTCTCATTGCAGAAAGATTGACTGCAGATTATTGATTTCTAGAAGCCCAGACTTCTTACTAGGGATGGGTATTTATACGATTTTTACGATTCCGATTCCATTTTTGATTCTGTTTAACGATTCGATTCTTTATCAATTCTCTTATCGGTTGATTAGCTTAGAACTTTGTTTTATATCTTCTCTTTGAACAAGATAGAAATTTAGGAGTAACATGGCCTTACAAACCCAACAGTGAGATCTTAAGAGATCCTTAAGAGATCCAGCCTATGGCTCTTCAATGGGGTGTCACGGGGTCACCAGG